TCATTGAGGAATGGAAAAAATTTGACCCACAATGGCTTAAAAACTTAGTAGATTCAATGCCTAAAATATGTCTTACAGTCATCAAGGCAAAAGACGCACAAATAAACTATTAATTTTATATTAGCAAAATTATTACTAAAGGGGTAACTTTTTTGACTTTTTTTTGACTTTTTTGACACTATTTTTTTGACTTTTTTGACACTATTTCTAATTTAGCGGATAATTTTTGTTTTATTTTAGTATTAAAATATTAGTTTCTTGTATAAAAATATTTTTTGATATAAATTCAATATTAAAAAAAAAAATTGAGGTCAAAAATCTAAATTTAAGCATATAAAAATTATTATTACTGGTCAACAACAATTTTTTATCAGACTCAATTTTGGATGGCCCAGATACAGTTTTTTGTGCAGATTTCAAATCTGTGCTCAGTTTTTTTGTAGCACGTCTAGTTTTTGGGATGACATGCTTTATGTTTTGAGATTAGTGGCAATTACTAATGATATTATTCCTCATTTCAGGTTTGATTTAATCTTTATAAAATAATTTATCAAGATGCCAAGAAAATGCAAGAATCAGCCTGACACCTTTTGTTATGTATGCGGCTTATTTTCAGTGTCTGGTCAGCGGCGTAAAATTACAGCGAACTTGTCAAAAATCTACAAATTGTAGTTTGGATGCCCGTTAGGTGATCAAGATAAAACATGGGCTCCACATATTATTTGCACAAGCTGTTCTAGTGGATTGCGTGACTGACTTCACAAACGGAAAACTGCATTTTCATTTGCCATACCCATGGTATGGAGGGAGCCAAAGGATCATGTAACTGATTGTTATTTTTGCATTGTTATTACAACTGGATTTTTATCAAAAAATAGGCAAAAAATCCTTTATCCAGATTTGGATTCGGCAATGAGGCCAGTTTCACATGACCCCTCATTACCAGTTCCAATGCCTCCAATAGATGGATTAGATTCTGTCGAAGATAAGATGGAAGTGGACTCTTGTGATGAACATCAAGATACAGCCGATCTTGACTATTCACCTGATGTTGAAAAAACGCCAGAAGTATTCACTCAAGAAGAACTAAATGATTTGGTCCGAGACTTAACCTTATCAAAGGAAAAAGCAGAACTTTTGGATTCACAACTTAAACAAAAAAATTTGCTTGCAACAAACGTTAAAGTGTGCCACTATCGAAAGCGTAATCTTCAATTAGCTACATTTTTTACTGTTGATGGCCCATTGTGCTATTGCAATGACATCAGTGGACTGTTTGAAAGTTTGTCACAGCCGCATAAACCTTCTGAATGACGTTTGTTCATCGATTCGTTAAAGCGAAGCTTGAAAGCTGTGTTGTTGCATAAGGGAAATCAAAAGCCTTGCATACCAATTGCTCATTCTGTTCATCTGAGTGAGACGCATGAAAACATGAAAATTCTCCTTGAGGCAATCAACTACAAAACTCATCAATGGAATATCTGTGGTGATCTAAAAGTCATTGGCATGCTGATGGGCATGCAAATGGGTTTCACAAAATTCTGCAGTTTTTTATGTGTTTGTGGGACAGCTGCGCTGTAACAGAACATTACGTGAAACGAGATTGGGACCAAAGGAATGAGTATGAGCCAGGAAGAAATAGTGTTGAAAATATTCCTTTGGTCGATCCACAAAAGATTTTTTTACCTCCTCTACATATCAAACTTGGCTTGATGAAGAACTTTGTAAAAGCAATGGGAAAATCCAATTCAGCTGGATTTCAATACTTGGTGGAAAAATTTCCAAAAATGAGTGCAGCAAAGTTGAAAGAAGGAATTTTTGTCGGACCTCAAATTAGAGAGGTTTTACGAGATATTAATTTCAAAAATTCTCTTACAGATGAAGAAAAGGAAGCTTGGCAAGCCTTTACTTGGGTTTGTGCTAACTTTCTTGGTAACCACAAGTCATCTGAATATGAAACAGGCATTCAAGAGCTGCTCGATTCATATCAAAAAATGGGATGTCGCATGTCTTTGAAGTTGCACTTTTTACATTCCCATCTGAAATTTTTTCCTGAAAATCTGGGTGCAGTGAGTGATGAACAAGGTGAACGATTTCATCAAGATATTCAACTGATGGAAAATCGCTATCAAGGGTTTTGGAATGAAAGCATGATGGGTGATTACTGCTGGATGCTTCATCGTGACAACCCAGACAAAGTCTTTAAAAGAAAGTCATATTCACTGCGATTTTGAGCAATGTTGTGATAATTGTAGTGAATAAAACATTGTATATGTTAATACTGACTTGAATTGTTGACAATTGTACGGATCTAAGATAGTAATAGGGTAGGAGATGTAAATTCATACAACACAACTTAAGGCAAATGTCTTAATTTCCCTGAGATTTGCAAAATAAGAGGGGCCCTTATCTCAAAATGTGTACGTGATAGAGAAAAACTAAATAGATATTTGGAATCAGAGTGAAAAGTTTATCCAGAAAAAAATATTTTTATTCATGATGAGAACAAAAAGTTCCATTTTGTTGATCAGTGTAATCAAGGGGTGATAGAGTATTTTGAAATACTGTATGTAACATTTTGAATTCAAGCATTTTGTCACACGTACCAGCACTACATAAAAAAAGATACAGTATTCAACCTTGCGCACTTCGAAATTTCTTTTTGTGTGTGTGTTGGTACCTTATATTCTGAAAACACTCCAGTTAAGAGTGGAATACTACAAGGAAATGTAATAGGACTTATATTGTTCTTAATATTTGGTAACAACATATATTAAGAACAATGAAAGTACTAGGTTTTACTACATTTAAAAAAAAAATCTTGGTATGGTCCAATGATTGGCAACTAAAAATAGCAACCAACAAATGTTTTAATTAATGCTATGGAAAATATAATATACATACTCATCCTTATTCATTAAACTCTGTTAACAATATTGAAACTGTTTATTTAATTCAGTATATTGGAATCACCTTGTCCTTAGGTACAAAGTTCTCTAATCATTGCTCATGTATTTCAAGCATAGCATACTATCGCATTTATTTACTTTTAAAATCCTTTATCTCTAACAATTCTCAACTTTTGTTAAAAGCTTACAAAATTTATGCACGGCCTTTATTAGAATCTTGTACCTAGTTTGGAGCCTTTTAAAAGAAACTTAAAGCTAAAATCTCTTGAGTATTGCAGTCTCTTGAGTATTGAGTATTGTTAAATTTGATCTTAATATGACTTATAAAATTGTACATAATCTCATCGATTTACCATTTCCAGATTTTTTTACTTTTTTCAATTTAAAATATTTTACTAGAAGTCATTCACAAAAATTAACTCCACCTAATAAATGCATTAATGATACTAGAAGATTTTTTTACATCAAAAGAATCATTAAAGTATGGAACTCACTTCCTGACCACATAGTGAACTCGCCCTCACTGTCAGCATTCAAATCGAATTTAAAAAAGTATGATTTAAATTGTCAAGCTAACTTGGTTTCTTCACATTCACTCATATTGAATTTTCTTTTTTGTTTTTTTTTGGTGCTACGTAAGAGTAATTCAGTAATTACTTGTCTCACCATTTTGTATTTTGTACATTTTTCAAATACAAATAAATAAAGAAATAATAAAACAATACTTTTTTATGCCTTTTTTTAAACCTATCTTTAAAAATTATACTTCAAGTTGTAATTTTTAATCATTAAAATTAAAAATTACTTTTACTATTTATTTTATTTGTATTAATAATTTAAAATCATGATAAAATGTAAATTTAAAAACTTTTTGTTTCAATGAAAATGAAACAATCAACGAAAGAAAATATTTATCTAAAACTTCACATACAAAATAGCAATTTGCATACGCGTTTAGCAGTTTTGTGTTTAGCAAAAACATTTGGAATATTTAAATTACCTTTTAATATCATTTATGTGACGCTTATTCAGAAAGTATTAAGTTGTAAAAAAAAAAGATTAATGGCAACTGCAAACTTTTTTGTTAAAGAAATTTATTATTTTATATATATTTTTTTTAAAGTAAAAGTCTTTTAATTAAATATGATTTTAAAAATTAAAAAATTTAAATTTAGATTCAAAGAAATGTAAAATAGTAACATTAATTAAATAAGAAACTTTTTTCTTATTATTTACTAATTCATTACATAAAAACTTGTCTCTTTAATCATAGATTAAAATACGTAAATAAAAGTAAAAAAAAAATAGATTAAAATATGTAAATAAAGCAATTAAAAAAACTTTTTGTTTTACTTTTAAAAAAGAAGTTTTTTTTTTTTTTTTTTGTAAGATAATTCTTTTAACAAATGATTTTAATTTTTTTTGTTTCTTATTAATTCAATAACATGTAAAGTTCATTTGAAATTTATTTATGAACATAAATTATCTTTGCAAATATCTTATTAATACAAATAAAAATTCTATTATGTGGACATAATATAATTTTATTTTATTATTTGTTTGCGAGTACAAATAATGACTTCCAGAAAATAAATCAATAAATAAATTTTGATAAACAAACAAAAGATTATTTTAAGTATAAAATTGTTTTAAGAAATAATTTATAAGGAAATTTTGTAAATTTTTTTTTAAATACCCAATAGATTATGTTAGTAATGTTTATTTAAATGATTTAAGTTAATTACAATGTAATACTTTAAAAAATGACACAATTCAACTTTAAACAATGTAAATATCAAAGCTGTGTTTCATTTATTATCGTTGAGCGTTTTCATACGCAATTAAATAATAAGTCCAAACTATCTGAATACCTATAATAAGGAGATAATTCTTTTTCTACTAGTTTCATATATTAATTAATACTCCTATCCAATTCAATTTTACTTAAATTTTTTGATCAGTTATTGACCTGGTATATCTATGCAACTTATATTTAAAAAGATCAAAACATGTTAAAATAATTAAAACCAGTTAAAATTGAAACATTGGGCATCATACAAAATGAAACAGTCAGCAAAAGAAAATAATTACCTAAAACAGTTACAATTGTTTGAAGTTTATAGTTGGATGCTCTTACTTTACAAGTATAGTTACCACTATCTGAAAGTCTGCTGTTGAAAATATTATAAATAGGTTTGAATTTTGAAATTTCATTTGTAACATTTGGATAATACCAAGAAATAGCTGGAGGAAAACTACAAAATAAAAAGAATAAAAAACATTTATGCATAAAAATTTTCAAGAAACTTTAATGTATAAGAAAAAATTAAATATAGTTATTATTTATGAAAAATAATCAATCCTGTGATAATAAAATAAACAAGTAAAAAAAAAGATTGAAAATAACCTGCAATAATAAAAAAATGCTAAACACTCCATCGATATGTTTTCTCCAGCATAGACTATAACATGAGGTGATAGTTCTACCAAAACAAGACTTCTGTTTTCACATTGTCTCAAGTTAGGTGAAATCGCTAAAATTAATGTAAGTATTTTTAAATAATAAACTCTTTAGAAATATGCCTAGGTACTAAGAAAATCTTTCTATGATAAGTAATTCAATTGGGGAAAACTCTAGAATATTCCAAGGTATCATGTGGTTTATGATTTTTAATTATTTTTGTAAATATATATATTTGAAGAAAAATTCACCAATGAATTGAGTCAGCAGGTTTTTAAACTTACTATTTGAAAATTTTAACTATAAAAACATCTATCATGGCAAAACTAGAATTTTTACACTGTGACAAGCTGGATAAAACCACTAAAATTAAAACATCAAATGATGAAAAAATAGATAACTTTTACAAAAAGCTACCTAGATCTAGATGAGCTTATATATATACAACCCTGGGAATTTAATTGAACAATTTTAACACAAAAAATTCACTATAACAACATAACTAACACAACAAAAAACAAGGTCGACAAAAATCACCGACATTAGACACTTTTTGGTCAGCAACCATGTCAGCATTTCAAAATGTCAATTCTTATTCTGAGGGCTGCATATATCACTAACAATTCATACCTAAGGAAGCAATTTCCTAATATACTTTTTGCTCTTTAATTTTTAAAAAATGTGCTTTAATTTTTCAGAAAAAGAAAAAAAAAAAAATATAAAAGACTGATCCCTTAGTAAGACAATTCCGCAAGAGGGACAGTCGTAACATTTGACACTCATTAAGTCTATGTTTTATGAAAAACATTCTGGAATGTCAGCTAACGGTAAAACAAATTTTCAACAATTTGAAGTTTATAGTATTTTAGTTTAAAGTAAAATCGTAATCATTTGGTTCTACAACTTTTTTGTACGAGTGTTGATTGCCTATAAAATCACACATTCTACTAAGTTTGTGTTTTTGCTTGTTTTTGCAATATTGTATTATTGTTCAAATTACTTACAATTGACTTAGTTGCTATGGTTAATTACCTTTTTGACAGTGTTGAGAAAACAAGTTATTTAATATTGAGATTTAGTTGGAACAAAAAAAAATTAATTATATCATAAGAAAGAGAATTAAATTCTACATAAATTTAATCAAAATCATAAATTTTCTGTTTTTACTATTGAAAGTCAAACACTATCTATAAATACTTAGAAGTCAAACATTTAAGTCTTAGATTCCATAAAAATGCTCTCTCAAAATTGACATTACTGATGTTTAGGAAGTTTAGGGTTGTTTAATAATTAATAAAAGCAGCTGCATCTATCAATTATTTGGGCATTAAATCTATTTCAATATTTCTAATTTTTATACTTCATAATTTTCTTTTTTGTGATTCATTGTAGTGTAAATTAAAAAATGCCTTCAGTTTAAAAATTGAAATTAGACACTACTTTAAATTTAAAGGAAGCGCTGAGCAAAGTTGTTAAACAACTTTTCTCAGCATTAAAAAATAAAAAGTTTAGAGAAAAGTTGTTTAACAAATTTTTTCTAAAGCTTTTTTTTAAACAACGTAAATTACGCACGAGCTTGTGTTTTCCCTTTTTTAATTTGCAATTATAATAAAACTTTTTTTGCTGCATTTCAGTTTATGTAGCATTTCAGTTTTCAAATGTCATTTAAGACATTTTAACATTTTTTATTTTGACCAAAATAAAAAATGTAATTAAACTTTAATCTGACTTTTCTTAAATAACTAAATAAAAACAAAAAAAAAAATGAGTAGCCTACTCGACTGTAGTGGCTCCCTCGGGCCTTGGGGAGGTGAATAATAATAAAAATAAAAAAAAACTACTTTTATTATAAAAAACCATAGTATTTTGTTTTTACTAACAAATCTATTTTTATATTTAATTGTTACCAAAAAAAAAGAGAGAAATAAATAAAACTTTTATGCTTGTCTAGATCCAGGAGATTATGTTGGAGGTGCAAGTTTGAGGGAAAGTATGAAAGATGTTAGCCCTGAAACCATCTCAAAAAAATAATAAAAGGAATCCTAGTCAGCCTTAAGGTAGAAGTAAAAAGTACGTTCATAGATTAAATTTGATAATGCAGCAGTATGTAATTTAATATGTTTAAATAAGTTTGTAACAGGAGAAGTTATGCACAAGCTTGGGTCAAACACAATATATTTAAAATAATAAAATAAAGAAATATATATAAAACTATAAAAACAACAAAACCATAAAAAGTTTAACGCTGTCATATATGATACCTAGATCGAATGTTGCTAAACCAATCAAAAAAAGAGATATGGAATCAAATATAGCAAATATTTGATTCCATATCTCTTTTTTTGATTGGTTTAGCAACATTCGATCTAGGTATCATATATGACAGCGTTAAACTTTTTATGGTTTTGTTGTTTTTATAGTTTTATATATATTTCTTTATTTTATTATTTTAAATATATTGTGTTTGACCCAAGCTTGTGCATAACTTCTCCTGTTACAAACAGTAAAATGAGGAAAACAGTAAACTAAACTACTACAACATAAAATATCAAAAAAAAGGGAAAAAATATATGTATATACATACATACATACATATATATATATGTGTGTGTGTGTGTGTGTGTGTGTGTGTGTGTGAGTGAGTGAGTGTGTGAGTGTGTAAGTGTGTGTGTGTGTGTGTTTGTGTGTGTGTGTGTGTGTGTGTGTGTGTGTGTGTGTGTGTGTGTGTGTGTGTGTGTGTGTGTGTGTGTGTGTGTGTGTGTGTGTGTGTATAAAAAATGAAAATTTTGAATAAAAATTTTTGTATGTTTACATTATTACTTGTATTTCTATAATTGTTTTATTGTCAAATTATAAAAGCAATGTTACTTGGCAACATGTAGAGCTAGGTTTTAAATCTAGCTAGCCTAGACCAAGTTAGCGAGGTATAATGTTTTTTTTTACTTTTTTGAAAAGTTATTGCAAAATTGAAAAACTAGTTCTCAAATAATAAGGTAAAAGGAATAATGAAGCCTTAAAATGTAAGCAATTAAAAATAAAAATTTGTTGAAGTAAATACTTATGCTAATTCTAGTACATAAAATTAATAAAAAAAACACTGGTATTATAAATAAATTACTAATATTTTAGTAATTTATGATTTTTTAAAAACTTTTAAAACAACTTACAGATGTCAGATATTTAATTTAAACAAAGATTAAACATAAACTAATAAATATTACTATTATTTGTTATGTTAACAGTAACAGTGTAGCCAACTATCAAGTAATCGTTCTTTTGTTTGATAATATAACTAAAACTTGTATTGTGTTCTTCGGAATTAATGCTTCGAATAAGCAAACTGCCATTTTTTGTGTATAAATCTTTTTGAAGAATTTCCCACTCCTGAAATTTAGTTTTTTTTCTCCAAAATACTTCAGTAATTTGTGGAACGCTCTCATAAACTTCCAGAGACGGTAAAAATAAATAACCTCCATTTATAATGTTTTTATGAAAATCAGTAATTTCTTGATATTTAATCACTAAAAAAAGTAAAAAAACTTATATGTATTTGCAGTAGTGGTGCAGTGGTAGAGCAATTCCCTCACAAATGAGAAGTTTCGAGTTGGATCCCCACCACGTCCCTGGTAACACCATGCTAAACTTGTTTCTCCGCGCAGCAACTTTGTTTGTCAAGGTTTATGTTTTGCAGTTATAGAGTTAAGAGATATTAATAAATAAGTATAACTTAATGTATTTAATTTATATATATTAGGATGTTATTATATTATTAATATAAAATAACATCTTATTATATAAAACAAGATGTTATAGTTCATTATTAATATATCATCTTAAAATGATGTTATATTGTTATGATGCAGTTATGATTCTAATCTATATAATTATTGAATAGTTGTATATAATAAGAAAAAAACATCTATATCTTTATAAATATTCTAATTTACAGTTTTTATCTTAAATGAAACATCATGGTGTTACCACATCCCTGGTAACACCATGCTAAACTTGTTTCTCCGCGCAGCAACTTTGTTTGTCAAGGTTTATGTTTTGCAGTTATAGAGTTAAGAGATATTAATAAATAAGTATAACTTAATGTATTTAATTTATATATATTAGGATGTTATTATATTATTAATATAAAATAACATCTTATTATATAAAACAAGATGTTATAGTTCATTATTAATATATCATCTTAAAATGATGTTATATTGTTATGATGCAGTTATGATTCTAATCTATATAATTATTGAATAATTGTATATAATAAGAAAAAAACATCTATATCTTTATAAATATTCTAATTTACAGTTTTTATCTTAAATGAAACATACCTCATTAGGTATAATGATCATATCATTAAGTTCTTTTAATAACTTTATTTATTTTTAGATAAAATGGAAATATAGTTGAATTTAGGAATTGCTCCAGATAAAATTTTATAAAACTAGCAACAAATGGATTGGACAAATGGAATAATCTTTTGATGTTTTAGACTGTTACGAATTAAGTTAATTAAACTGTTACGAATAAAGTTTAAAAGAGTGCAAAAACTGTAAATATTTTTATGTTCATTTTACTGGAAAACTTTTGCAATCGGTTAGGATAAGAAATTCCAGTTGGCATTAACTTTGAAGACAATGATGAAGATGATGTACACAATGTTCAGGCTGAAATAACACAAGCCAACCAAATTTGACTTGCAATTGTACAATGAAAACATATTAAACTACCTGTTTGCAAATTGAAGGTGATAGTATATTGTTGAATGTTACAAGGGCAAAAATTATAAGGATTATTTGATGTTTTATATATAACACATTTAGGCATTATGCAAACTTAAAAATAAAATTTTTTATGGCAAGTATATTCATGCTTATGTCAAATTATAAATTTTTTTTACAAAAAAAGAGACAAAGAATGGGCGGTAAGTTAATAAACTAGCATGAACATGCTGAGGACAGAGTTTGAACAAAGCCTAAAAGTGTCATATCTGAACCCAATGAAATGTTGTAGTTACTGTATACAAACTTTTTTATTATTTATATTTTAAATAAACAATATATACAAGATATTTAAAAATTAATAAAACAAAAAGTTTTTATGGCAAGGTTAATTGTATATTAAACAATTGACAAAATTTACCTACCCTTTATAATCTCATGGTTGATTATTCAATTCAGAACCCCTCTCTTTCTCTTTTCTACTTAAAATTAGTTTGCTAATTTTTATAATAATACTTTTTACTAAATAAATATTCAATAAAAAAAATTTATATAGTTTTTATAGAAGATTTTTATAAATATATTATTGTCATTTTGTTAGACTGAAAAAAATATCAAATAGTAATAATTCCTAATTTAAATTTGTTCAAAATTATAGAAATTCATTATTAACAAAACTTGTTTTAAAAAGTACGAAAACTTGGTTCATTGGAAAAAAAATGAACTAGGTTGGTTTTTTTTACATAAGTTTTTGTGTGAGGTCAGCGCAACTCATGCACCACCCTAACTTTATAGAAATGCTGCAAAACATTGGTGAATGCCATATAGTTTTCATACTCTACTTATAGATTTTCGATTTGTGTCTCCTTGATAGTGCCTTGGCAACTTTTCTTGTTACTTCCAAATGAGGGTACAGCTCTAAAACTCAGTTTAATGGTTCTGAGGCCAGCTGGTAGTATGGTTTCCTGAACTCTGTGGTAGCTCTTAGTGACTAAGAAAGGCTGATTTCATCAACAGCTATAAAATATCAGAGTATTAATAGTGCCATGTGGCGCATGGATTGTGTTCCTGTTAATGCTTTTGGTGCGCATTGTCAAGGTTACATAAGGTTAAGTTACAACTTTGTACACCTAAGTTACAACTTATGGTTAATTTAAAGGACTAAGACAACTGCATAACTCATGGGTTTGTAAGCCGTGCTCTATCTACAAATGAGTCAAGTTTTCTTTAAACTTAAATTATGTCAAAAGTAATTCAAAATATTAGGCATAAAAAATCATCCTCATCACCTTACTGTTTTAATATATCTTTTACAAAAAATCGTGGTCTGCAAAGCAACCTTCCATCAGTTGAACCTTACCTTTTGTGAAAATTACCAGACTTACTTGCTCTTAGTAAGACTAATTAAATTGTGCTATTCTTTTTTCAGATCTCAGTGTTGATGGGTACTATCATTGGATTTGCAAAGACTCCAAATTTTTACATGCTTGGCTTAGGGCATACATATGCATCAATTCGCCTGTTTGTTGTGAAATCAGGTTTGAATCCTTAGACAATTCTTTTATGTGCTTCCGCTTAGCACCTCCTCACTTTATCACCTTTCCCTTTGCTTTTAATTGTTCTTCTTTTTTCCCAAGATTGCACTCTTTTAGATGTAATTTCTGATCAAATTAACCATGCCTATTCTCTTTACCCCTCTGTCAATATTTAATACTTTAAATTATTGCATTGAAGAAATAATTATTAAAGAATTCAAAGACTTTAATGTTTATCACACTGAATGACTAGGCTCTAACGCAACTGACACTGCTGGCAGGATCAGTGGCGCTACTTATGCCATTTATGCAGTGGAACTATTTATGCTGATCATGCTCTTTCTATTCTAAACATAGCTGTACTTGCTTTATCTGCTAAGCTTTAGCATCTTTCCCATTGTCAGAAAGTTGCATCTTATTCTTTTTCACAAATACTATCATGGTTGATGTTCAAAGGAGCTATTATCCCTAGTTCCATTGGCTAAAACTCATTTTTTCTTGACTCGTTATTCGGCAAAGTCTCATATGTTTACTGTATTTGTCCTCGCATGCTCTAAAAACTTTTATTTGTCTAATTCTTTTCCTTTCACTTTGACCCTTTAGAACTCTTTTTTGTCTTCATGTTTTCCTGACTTGAACAGCCTACAACTTTTCAAGTCTTTTGTCAAACATTTTTTTGTTCTAGAACTCTATCCTTTCTTTTTCTAGTAACTCCCAACTTAATAGTGGTTGCTTGCAGCCTTGTTAAGAGTGAATTAGAAATAAAATTAAAAAAAAAAAGTTACAAAAACAATGCTGATCGTACTGTTTCCGTAACCTTAGTTAAGCTTCACAAAAGTGTTTTTTTATTAAGTCAGATTCACTTTCAACAAGGATGCAAGCAACCACTATTAAATTGGGAGTTACTAGAAAAAACTATCAAGTTGGGAGACACTAGAAAGAATAGAGTTAAAATGCAAGAAAATGGTTGACAAAAAACTTAAAAATTTGTAGGTTGTTAAAAAGTTAAAAATTTTAAAGCATGCAGGGACAGTAAACAGATAAGACTTTGCTAAAAGATGAGTCAAGCAAGAATGAGTTTTGGTTGATGGAATTAGAGATTATAGCTTCTTTGAGCAGTGACCATGATAGTATTTGCAAGAAAGAGAAAGAGAAAGAGATGGACTCTCTCCCATCTTTATGACATTGGGAGAGAGGCTTAAGCTTGGCAGATAGAACTACATTTAAAATGCATTTTTGGACCTCGTGTAGAAAAGAAAAAGCATCATTAGAAGAACCACCATAAATATAACAACAGTATTCCATATAAGGGCAATTTGTAGAGGTTAGAGTATTGTAGAGAATGGAATAAGAAGTAAATGGGAAGCACAATAAAGAGATGCTAACTTAGCAATTGATTGTATATATGGTGTCCATGAAAAGTCAGTAGAGAGCGATAATCCAAAAGAAATAAAAGGACTCAGTGAGAGGGTAGTCATTCATCAAAAAAGGAATGTCGACAGTATTACAATAGTTGTTTGAAGTAAATTGGAACCACAAATGTCATTTTCCAGTAAACAGGAAAACAAGATTAAGTCAAGCATTTATTAAATAGCTTAGAGAGAATTGAAGAGAGTTCTGGACAACAATTTTGTAAGACTATGACAAAACGTTGTCTGGACCACAAGCCATAGAGGAGTCCAATTGAGATATGACTTTAGCTACAGAAGCTGGAGTGATTTGAATGTCTAACAATACGTTAATATATTTAACTGGAATGTAAGGAAGAGTATGGCCATAAGATTCCATAAGATTCAAGAGTCAAATTAGCAGAAAAGTTCTTTGCAAATAGTTCTGCCTTATCCTTAGAAGAGGTAATAAGATCAGTCACATGAATGAGAGATGGATTGTTAGACCTAGCTTTGTTAAAGGTATTTTCCAAAAGTCTCTGGATCCTAACTTCTGAGAGAAATTCTGTGAGATTTAATGAACTGGAAATAATGGATCTTTTTGCAATGATTTCTTACAATAATAAATAGCTGTTTGTTCACAAGAGAATTATTCTTTGGAACTGAGCTGTATCCTCACTAAGAAATAACAGTAAGAGTTGACCACTCTTCCTGTTATCTCCTAATGAAGCACAATATTATACTTGTACATAAAATAATAAGGCTTTAAGGACTATTTTAAGGAAAGTGGCCCCCTACTCTAAATAGATTGCCCACCTGTGGGTCGTAAAATACTAAGGGTACAGGTTTACATAAAGGAAAACAGTTTCACTACAGAATTTTCTAAATTTTGATAAGGTAATGTCATAACTACATGACAATGTGGCCAGAATAATATGAAGCCATTTCATAAGATCTACATTCATGTTTTCAATATATTAGCTCAGACATCATATTGTTGAAAAATTATGTAGCTGTGTTACCATTGCTTGATGTACCTGCCCTACCTACCTTTTGGTTGGTCAAGACAACCAAGAGTGGGGCAGACAAGACTCTTGGTTGACTAGACCCGTCCTTTTTCGAAATTCAGCTCAAACTTCAACCTTTCTTAGCTAACATTAGTCCTAGCTTGCCACTTCATAATTGGCATCTTGTAAGATATATGGAATATATATTCTAAAATATATATTCCATATATCTTACAAGATGAATATATATGGAATATATATTCTAAAAATCTTATCCAAGTTGGAAGACTATGTCTGATACTAGCTTCTAATGTTTTTTTGAATTACTAAATATAGATTATTCATTTCCATTGGAGATGCACAACACATTGAGCAACCTTAGTAAGTGTTTGTTTTTGTTGAAATAATAGTTTAAATTTTTCCATCTTTCACTGCTAAATTTACAACATGTTGTACTTAAACTTTCTTCATTGTGCAGTCCTTCATTAGAACAGATATAAGGGAAAATGTTATATTTTTAATAGAAGCCATAAATGACTTATACTCTGCAAGAATATAAGTCATTTATGAACTTTTTCTAGAAAACACACAAATTTGAATATATCATTGTCCCGGTCACAAAAGTAAAGTTTTGTTAAACCACCGCCATTTATTTTTTATTAACTTCTTTTGATACTTTTTTTATATATAAATCTGAGAGGACTGTAACTAGTTGACAATGGTGTTAGATTTCTCCAAACAACCATTTGTTTTTTATCATCTTAGAAACAATATAGTTTTAGAAAAACTAAGCTTTAAATATATAACAAGCTAAGTTAGGAAAAGCAATTCATCAGTATTAAATTCACTCATATAATTTGACTGTGGTTTATAAACAGATTACCTTGTTGCACCACCAAAGCTTTATACATTTGAGTTATTCTAGTACAATCTTTAGGCACAGACGAATTTAAAATAACACTATAAGTTGATGCAGTATGAAAAAGTAAACCTTGTAATGGTACTCCTGCAGAGTAGTCATTGACCTGAATGCTTTCAGGATAGCATATATTTTGAGCTTCTTTTACTTTATGATATGATGGGTATAGAATTTAATTAAAAATACTATCAAAATTAAGAAACTGTATCAAAATTAAGAAACAATGGTTAAATGCTGATAAGTTTTTATGGATAATTTGGCATCTAAGACTAGCATTAATGACTGTTTTGACATAAGTGATCCGATAATCCTCTGCTGCATGATTTTTTAATAGTTTCTGCTTCTATAAATCTTATATCTCTTTTTAAACTTTTACCCTCTGCATATAAAAGTTTATCTAACTAAATTTTGATTCTTTTTTCAAATACTGCACTTTTTCTATTTGATTTTTTCCACTCTTTTTTAGCTTGGTAAATAAATCTTGCAATAACTGACAAAATTTTATTAGATTCTTCAAAATTGTTGCTTACTAAGATATTCACTGCCTTTCCTTTACTTCTTATTGGTTGAAAAACATAAAGAAAGTAATTTCTTTCATTTTTTTTTTTGTTGTTGAATCATCAAATAGGCTACCATATTTCGGATAGTATTTAAGGATACCCTGTTGGTCTCATTTTTATTGACTTTTAAAAAGCATTTGATACAGTGCCTCACAAAAAACTAATGCACAAACTTTATATATATGGTTTTCATGGTCAGGTTCTTAAATGGATTAAAATATGACTAAATAAAAGGAAGTAATGGGTTAAATTAAAACCAATCACATCAGATTGTAATGATGTAGTTATCAGTGTAAGCATGCTACATATGTTCTTAAAAAACTACACTAACATTATGTTTTACAAAACATGTTTTTTTCCCACATTATTTAATTCTTATTGAAACATTTTAATAGTAATCTTCACAAAATTAATGTATCTTTTCAAAATGTCTTGAGAGCCTAACTTCTGAGGTAAGGTAAAAGATTTGATAAACTGAAAATAATAAAGCTCAGCATTAGACAGTCACATATTAGATGAAAATCTAATTGAAATGTTAACAAATATTTAGCTTCCAGATAACCATTTGCAACATTTTCCATGCCATATTCAAGGAGTAAAGACATGCATCAAACTTAGCAGTTTGGCTAGTAGAGACGCTTCATTTGTGCAAGACTTGCATCGTGAAAAATAATGCCTTTATTCAACATAAAAAGACAGTTTGAGATAAATCCAAATGAATTAGATAGTTGAACTTTGTTACAGCTAAACTTTAAACATTTTTCAAAAACATTTTCCACTCTATTAAAACTTTAATTGAACATTGAGGACTGCAGAGCTTGTTTGCCAGAAACTCATGAAACAGTGTTTTTTCGTAAAAAATTATAACCATTTCCAAATAAGTTATTGTTTAATGTTTAAAATCTATTACAATTCTAGTATATGCATAGAATTTGTTATTTTTATTTTGTAAAAAAGGTCAGAAATTATGTAATTTCAAGAGTTTTCTGATGAAATAATTTGCCATTAACCATTAAATATGCTTCAAGCTTTTTTCTATAAACAGCTGCTTTTTGAAAATTTAAGAATATGGTGATCACTTTTTTGTTCATGTAATGATCGCTACATAAACAAACTTCTTTGAACATTATTAAAGATCGGTATAATTTTCTCAGGAAATTAACAATGTTTGGCACCTAAATAATTTTCTTAGGACATTTTTTAAGCAAGAAGGAATTTATTTGTGAATGCAAATAAAACTTGCAGCACAAAAATTAATGATTTTGTAAACAATAAATATTAGGCTAAACATTATAATGCCACAGACCCTAAACAAATAAAATTTAACAAAAATCTTACTGCCATGTTGTACACAACATACGCTACATTAAATCTAGTGTTTTCTGATGCTTTATCAAATAAATTGACTAAAGCTAACAATCAAATACTTTACGTATTACTAATGAAGGTAAAACTTCTAAAGCTGTATGAAAAAGTAAAAAGAGTTATTGCTTATAATTTTAGCAAATATAATTCCTGATTAACAGGGGTACTCACTACTGACATGTGGACCAGAACAAATACTGAGTATTTGTACTGGTCCACATGCAGTAATTTGACCTGTCATTATATCTCAAAAGACTTTCAACCCCAATCATTCTTTTTTCGAATGTTGTCATTCAGAGAGGAAAAGCACACTGGCCAAACAATTGTAATGCAGCTCGATAACCTCATTAAAGATTTTATGTTTCTTCATAAAACACGCATATGGTGCATCAAAAATAGAGCTACAAATATTATTGTAGCAATAAAAAAAACCTCGAACTGCAAACTGAGATCCATGTGCTGATCAAACATCAGACTTATTTAAGCTGTCAAAAACAAGTGTGGCTTAACTCTATAAAAGTATATTGTTATATAAAAAAGTTAAAAAGATTTGATTGATTCAAAAATCAACTACAAAAAAGAAAGGTAACCTTTAGGACTAGATGCAACAGCCAGTGAAATCAGTGCAACAGCATATAGAACAAAAGAAAATATGTACCAAACGTCAAAGAAGCACTAAAAGCCTTACTGGGGAAGGCCACATAATTGCGAAAAAAGTTCCAAACAATACACATTCCAAGATATTAAAAGAAATCTTACCAGTTTTTCTAAAATTTTTAAGACTTTCCACTCAAAATTATCTTTGTTAACAAGAGTTCACATAATTGTCCTAGAAATCTGTAATCTTCACAATTCTTCAATTTTTTTAAAAAGGAGGATTACATCAAACAGTTTGAAGTTGCTCTCAATCAAAAAACTACAAGGTACTTTCAATAAGATGACATACTACCTATGCCATTGCTCATATGACCCATGCTATAAATATAGACTTCTCAATCTTTAATTAAAAAATTTCTTCTCGAAAAAACCCGCATTGAATGTGTTGATGAAATGGACAAACAATTTGATTCAAATTTATGCCTTGACTCATCACCAAATAAGATTTTGAGTAAATCAACTTCTCTGTGCAAGCCTTGCAAACTTAGATCAAAACATTAGATTAACAATTGTTAATTTGAAAAAAAGGTAAAGTTAGCATTGTATTGATATTTAACTATCAGACTTGTTGTTTGTAAATACTATTGCAAAACAAGTAACTTTGCAACCTGTTTAGTAGATGGAACTGGAAACTCTAGTAACTTCAAGTAGTATCATATGTAATAGAAGTTATAATAACAATAATAACAATACAAACAATAATTAGGTAAATTATTTTTTTTACCATTATCATTTTAAATATAATATTCTGAGTAAAAATATTTAGCTGATTTTAATTAATTTGTTATTGTTTGACCAACAAAAATGTTTCATAGTGTCAGAAATAAAAAGAGAAAAAGTTCATAATTTTTTTGATTATTATTTTTAATATAAAATAAATAAATAAAAATTAAAATAAATAAAAAAAGCATATTTAATTCAAACATATTAATTTCATAAATTAATTTACCAGGTTTTTTAACTAGTGCTGTGCGACTTCTTACTGTTCCAAAAGAGTTTGAGAGAAGGCAAACATATGCACCATACTTCTCTACTTGTATATGAGTAAAATTTGTAAACTTTGACACAATTTCTGTTTCATACATCCACTGATAAGAAACTGACACTGGATGTTGGTTTGCAACACAACTAAGATTAGATGATGAGAATGATGATAAGTTAAAGAACCATGTGTCTTGAGGCTCCTCAGCAAATGATGGAGGAGGGAACACTTAAACAAACAAAAAATCTAATACATGTGTTTTAAATCATTCATTTTTATTTTTATTTTTCAAATATTTTATTTTTCAATACTTGCTTTTTATACAATAATAATTTTTGTATATATTCATAATTAGATTACCAAAAAATGCAGATAGTTTCAAGCTGATACTCATATACAGGATAAGCAAATAAAGATAATTAATTTTCATAGTAACTTCATTACTTAAAATCTCAACAAATTAATTAGTCTTAATTCAATTTTAATTTTGTCTCTCTATTTTTTTTAGATTTCTTTTTTTATTTTTTTTTACAACATTCTATTTAACCGAAATTGTTTAACAACATTGCCGAAAATTTAATAAAATTTAAAACAAATCACATAATTGTCAACATTGCCGAAAATGTATTCAAAGAAACCGTAGATTTCCCTAATTCCGAGAAACCTGAGCTTTAGTTTCCTTATTGTTAAGTCTGAATTTTGTTATATTCAAAAGAAAACTGATTAATTAATTGATAAAGACAAGACTAATGAGAATATGATAAAAAATATTTTTATAAAATATAATGAAACCATAAAATTTTTTATTGTTTCCTTACTTTATTGCAAGTAATTTACTTTTAAAAGCTCTGAAAAACAATCGATATAAAACCTACTTTAATAAAAATCAAATTAAATTGCACGCTGCTCGATTTAGAATCTTATAGATATGTCACGGATAGTGATTTTGCCAAATACCGTACATTCAGTTAGGCGCTCGACGAAGCACCGAATATTTGGCGACACTCTGATGTTTCCGACCTGCTTTATTGAAGTGCATATGTCATTATGACTAGTTTGTTTCACAGCACGCATTATTTGTTGAATGTTATATCAAACTGATTTAACTATGGTTATATATAAAAGTATCATACTCATCGAGTCAATCAAAAAAAAAAAAATACAAAAATAACCAGCTCAGGTATATCCTGCATTTCTAAAGGAAATTTCAAAATTTGCTATTAGATAGATATTGTAAAAAAAACTCAAAACTTATTTAAAATGATATCTTCAAAACAACCTGAACTTAAAGAATAGTTCAACTTTAATGGGAACGTCAATTGAACCCGTCATTTCGAAAAGGGCACAAGTCACACTTTTTTCAAATTTCACTTTTTAATGCAATTTTATTTATTCAAGTGTTTTACATATTCCCTTTGAAGGAGAAACATTTTCATATGCCACAAGTCAACTTTAATTGCAAATGAAAATTAAAGTCTGTTTGAAAATGGCACAAGTCCCGGACTTATGCCTTTTTCAAGTGAAACAAAGCGCAACTGTAGTGACGTAATTTCACTTTTTTTGTAACAAAAATGGAAAATCGCGAACTTCCTGAAAATGCATATAGATCTAGAAAAAGAGTGTCTGGTATAAGAAACAGTGGAAATTATAAACACAAAAAAATAAAAAAAGCCAAAATTGCTGGAGAAACTTATAAAAACCACAAAGGAAATGATGTGGCACCAAGTCAAACGGATGCTTCTTGTAGGTTATTTTTTTGTTCTTTAGAGTATGACTATATTCGTTCTCAAATTTATGCTTATTTACTCATGTTTTAACACCAATAATTGGAGGTAAAACATCTTGATATATAATTATTACAATATTACCTCAATAATTCTATTTATTTACAGATGTAATTCAAAGTGTATCTGAAGATTTTATAGAAAGTACAATTCAGTTTGTTAACAAATTTGATTGTAAAAATGCTCAAGATACATATTTGCATTCATTGATTGAAAAGAGGGAAGATGGTTTAGATCTAAAGAACCTAAGAAAAAAGAATTTTCTTTTATTTATCACATTTAGATTGAAGGTGTGATAAGAAAAGTAAGCAAGAAAGCTTTTTGCTGTATGCATGGAATTTCTATGAAACATGTTAGACATTTATGCATTTTATTAAAAAAAAAAGAGCAGCCTATAGATTACAGAGGTAAATCTCTGTGATCACGATGCAACGCATTACCTTGAGATACATTAACAAAAGTACGTGAGCGAAGTATGTACCTTTGTGCTGAATTATATTTTTAAAAAAATTGGCAACAATATTTTTAAAAATATAATTCAGCACAATATTTCTATGAAACAAGTTAGACATTTATGCATTTTATTGAAAAAAAAAAGAGCAGCCTATAGATTACAGAGGTAAATCTCTGTGATCACGATGCAACGCATTACCTTGAGATACATTAACAAAAGTACGTGAGCGAGGTATGTACCTTTGTGCTGAATTATATTTTTAAAAATATTACGTCTAAATATGTTCCACTAGTGACTATACTCACTTATTCTAGTTGCGAACCTGATATGTAAAGAGAACATGATAAGACTTGACTGAGCGAGACTAAGAACCATTATTTACGAACACACAGATTCAAAGCAATAAAAACACTAAATGACACATAAAACTTTAACGTTTAGAACAATACAAACACAAAACACAATAACTTACAGAACACTGCAACAACAACGTATTTAAATCTAACATGACCACCACTTACTTAACTCAAACTTAATTACTGAATAGTACCCTTCTTTTAAACAACAACTCTTAATTCTGGACATCTGTCCAAATATTATAATTTATCTTGCACTTCCTTGCACTTATATAAAATATTTCTTGCTTCTCTTAAGACTATTACGGCCTGATGGTTCCATATAAGTGGTGGAACTTTAATAGCTTCCACTGCAAAACAATAACAATTGTATAATTATTATACAATTGACTTTTTTATTGATGGACTTTCTAAAACTAAATTTCTAGGGATCAGTTAAAGCATAACAAGCAATAAAAAAAAAGATTTAAATGTTCTGAGAATGAACAAGTTAGTGAAAGGTTTATCTTTCTCAGTGAAAAGGTGCTCAAAACCTATAGTCACATGTAACTATAGCACCATGGTTCAACTCTACTTCGTAAGAAAAAGAATTGTAAACAAAAACGATCAAATCAATATCTACAAAAAATATGCACACATATGAAGATGTGGGAAAGAAAAGTCCAATTTCAAATGATATTAGTTTTTACATAAAAAAAACTGTTTGTTTAAATTTTTACAATAGTAAAAAAGTAGTTGAATACGCTGAAAACCGAATACTCGAGTAAAGTAGTCACCAAACATTCCTGACATCTCTAACCTTATATACGTTGGTCTATTCTGATTGATTGCTTGATTGTTTGTTCTCGGATGGCAGCCGGACCGTTGGTCCTGGAGACTTGAGGGAGTGACGTGGGCTGTGTCGGGATGACTGCGGAGAGGGGGGAGGCGTGTAGGTTTTTCCTTGTGAAGTACAGAGTTGTTTCTCGCTCCAGGGGGTGAGGGTGTGGAAGACCTTGGGTGTGACCTTGGAGGTCAAAATGGTCTGGAGGGCGGGTTGAGCGTTTCCTATGACGTAATTTTCGTTGATTTCTGTCGTGTTCCATGGATTACTGTTGCCTGTTTCGTTGTTTTCCAGAGTTTTCTGGAATGTTCAACGTTTTTACGGAGTGGGCCAGAATTTTCCGGAGTGGTCCGGAGCTTTCCGGAATGTTCCATAGTACACAATGTGGCTGTTCCATCACCTTCCAGAGCATTCGGGGGCTTTCCAGAGTGTTCCGTGGTGCTCTTTGGCTCAATCTGGAGACTTCCATGGGGATGTTGGTGAATCACATGAGATCACACATAGCTCAGTTTTTACCGGGTTGCTATGGTGAACATATCATTTGCGGGGTTGCAGTTCTGGGACTCAGTTCTGGGTTCGCTTAATTGTCAACTATGTTTATGTATAAAAATTCTTTTGTTATATGCCTACGTAATAATTTTTTAAACCTGCTTATCACTACGTTAGATGATGTAATTTCTTTAAAGTGGTTTAAAAATCTTAAATTCAAAGTTTTTCTTTCAATTCATAAATATATGGGTGACGATCTGTCAGGGTTATGGATAAATAAAATGTAAGTTTTTTATCCACTTATTCGCATTTTTGAGGTTTCAAAAAAATTAATTGATTGTATGACACGTTAATTTGTAATTAATGTGTATTATGTTTAAAATAATGTTGTTCCATTTTTAGGTCGAGTCCCAGCCGGCACAATGACGTTGAAATAACGTTGAAACAACGTCGCAAACCGACCATATGCCACGTTGAAACAACGTTGAAATTTGGTTGAATTGGAAATAAAATCCGACGTCGAAAACTACGACGTTGAAACAACGTCGATGATTACGTCGTTTCAACGTTGATCTAACGTCTTATCGACTACATATCAACCATATTTCAACTTTGAATAGGTGATATATTCGATTGATACGTAGTTGATAAGACGTTAAAACAACGTTGAAACAACGTAAATTCAACGTTGATTTTTGTTTTTTATTGGTTAAATCCAATTAACTAAAAAATTTTCTCAACTTTAATTGCAATAAATTGACACAATAAAAAAGCAATAATTTGCGCAGAGGATATTATATTTCACGTAAATTAATCAGATACAACTAAATTGCTTCAACGGACTTTATATACAATGCAAATAAAATAAAATGTTTGAAAAAAAAAAGTTTTATTTATCAGTATTATATTTATCAATTTATCAATAATAACTATTATCAATAGTTCCAGAACAACTAGGAAAAAGTATGAATGTTATACATCGGGTTAATCGCCTTTTACGCGCCGACCACCACCATTTGATCTGTCGAGTGCGTATTTTAATAAATTCATTATTCCTTTTCTTATTTCGGCAACTGTAGCAGTCACTTTAATTGACAAAACTCTCTCTATAAAAAAGGTATTGCCTGAGTAATTTTTATCAAATACATCAAAAAGTTAAAAATAAAATAGCATCAAAAAAACGAACTGTGATTTTTAAAAATATATAATTTTACACTTAACTTACAAGTAAATACCTAATGTTTGTTCCTTTAAACTTCTCTTTACCTTTACCGCCAGCCATATTAAATTTTGATTATAAACCATTGGTAAACAACTTGCATTATACATTGTTACTATTATTATAGTTACATTAAAAATTGATATACATGTCTTTTACAAAATACAAATTATTCTTAATGAAAAATAGCACTAAGGTTTCTTACCAAAGGTTTCTCACCCAACGCAAAAGGTTTCTTACCAAACCGTAATGCAAGTAAGAAAAAAAATTCATACAGGGGAAGAGTTTGGTCCAAGGAGACCACCTTCTAAACGCAAGAAAACACCAAGAGCGGACAGTATAATCAGAAATATCTGCCTGGAAAAGAGAAAAAAAGCCACTAAGCTTATCCATGAAGCTGTAATTGTTGTGTCAGACCAGACCATTTGTAGAAGGCTA